GGTTGACTGCAGAGCAGGCACAGCTGCTAAAAGGTTTGAACTGCAAAGGTGACACACTGATTTACACGTAATCATCTGTTTCACTTTCACCGTGAGGCACAAATATGTATTTTTTGGTCGAGAAAAAAAAAACAGCTCCTTTGGAAAAAGTGTTTTTAAAACAAAAACCACCAAAAAAACAATTATCAAAGCATGATTTATTAAAAAATGCTTAATTATTAATGGCAGTCAAAGAACAAGTTCAGTATTAACAGGCGGAGCTACATACACAGCTGTTTGTAGATCTGTGCAGTGCAGACAGGAAGTGCGAGGCAGGAACCTGTGCAGTGTTTTGTCACTGTCATGAGTGCTTCATGTTACGTTCAACAGCTCCGTTTATTGTTTGTAAAGCTCCAGCTCAGTTTGCTGACAGCAGTTTTAGTCATTATTCAAATCTTTCACTGCACAGCATTTTTATAATGTGCCCATGCTTCCTACAGGCCCTCCTGTGCGCTCAGCTCAGCACAGATTCTATATCTCGCGGCGCCCACGGGTATTAAAACGGCTCCATTCCCAGGCCTCGCTGTCCCGTACGAATGCAGACCAACACAAATCTTCTGCACTGTCGCAACTCAGCCTAATTAATCCTGGAGGAGAATTCTGAGCTGATCTTGTTTTCTCTGCCAGCTGTTACCTTGCATCATGTAAGTGATATTACTCAAAGGTTTAGAGCGATCCAAACCCTTCTGTTTTTATAATACTTTGCTTTTTTCCTGCGTGTTGTCCAACACGGCCCATTTCTGACTCAAAAAGCTCTTTGTCTGGCTAATTACAGAGGCAGCTGCAGAGCTCTGAACCAGAGACTGGGAGTTACAGTGCTGACAAAACCAATGGGGGAACCTGCGGCTGAGGCCGCTGCCTTTCATTGCATTTTCAGCTGTAGTGAAAAAGCATCAACATCCTAAGGGCTAAATTAAAGTATTCATAATGCTAACATGCTCTCTTTCCATCTCCAGTGCCAAATAAAATCAAATTTCCTTCCTCCTGCTAAACTTCATCGTCGCCTTTGATGGAGAAACTTTTAACTGATGCCAAGTTCCCCTGTAAATTCAAACATATCAAACGTGTTGCTGCCGACATTCATCAGAAAATTCTATTGTTGCACTAAATACAGTTGAACAGGAATGAAAACGAATCTGTGTTAACCGTGAAATCGGCATTACAGCGCTCCTTACGACTTGTCAAATATTCACTCCGACCGCAGCAAGAATTTAGCCTCACGCGTCTGAGTTTCATAACACTGGAATCCCACCCATGCCCAGGAACATCACATCATCCTCCAAAAATGCCTGGGCAAAGACGAACGCTCTGTAGCCGACTGGCTCGCCAGGCTGACCAGCTGGCTAACTGGGAGTCGTGAACTTTTGTCCCGCCGCTGCTCCCTTTGCTGGCTGCTAGAGAGGACTTGGGCGACACCAAACAGGAAGCATTCAACAACTGGACGCTTTGGATGTTTATCTCACGCCATTCATCAAACCCCCAAAAGCAGAGGAGTCGGGCTGGTGAAACAAGGCTGTGATCAGGGAGCCATCGCGGGGTTAGATCTGGGCTTCTTCGTACCCTGACAGGGGTTGGTCTCCTCCAGCCTACTGGCTCCCCTCCTCCTTTCTCACAGTCTTCAAGGAGCCTGGCTTAGGGTTGATGCTCTTGTGCCAAGTGGTGACAATAAAAGAGTTACACTTTTAAGCATTCAGCAGATTGCAAGAGCAGTGACCACAAAAGCTGAAGTTATCAGCGTCAGGGTGCGCGAGAATAAGGTTGACCTGACCACTATAAGTTGGTAATTACGAGCCAAACCGCTACTATCAAAATCAACTTCCCATCAACACAGAGAACAGAAAGAAAATCTATTCTGTAGAAGCAGCCAAGTCATGTGGTTGGTCGGGTGTTTAGCAGGAAGAAGAACGAGCCGTAGAAAAAGTATACAATGCACAGCTATTATAAAAGGTTGCATGACCCCGTGTGAAACAGAGAGACTCATTCAATACTATAAGGATAGTTTACTAAATATTAGCGTTTGAGGCATGATTCAGAGCATGCAAACAGCTGGAAATCTGACAACCGTTCAACCACAGCTGGACTAGAAATACAGTATATTCCAGATAGAAGTGAGCTCAAAAGGAAAACTATAGCAAAGTAAAGCACTCTGCTGATCAGAAAACTTTTCATCCTTAAGCTATGATCACAAGCTTTAAGGAGATACCAAAGGAATGTGACTGCAGATTTCACGATACCCTCTTAGAGCAACTGCAGCAGAAGAGTGTTTGTGCAGAGCGATGCGCTGCAAGCATTTTTCTCGAATATTAAAGCACATAACGTACCGATTAGAGACGATATGTGTGTCTAAAGAGGCAGAAACCTTCACAACAACCTGAAATAACAGCAATAATTCAAAAGATATTCTGTTAGTGGGACTCATTAAGTCCTGGTTTACTAATCAAGCCGGGCAGTGGGAGATAGAGCTGGCTGTCTAAAGGGAAAAAGCCTGGCTCAGACAGCAGACAGTAGGGAGGGCATCGACTTCTTTATGCTGTCTAAACAAAAGAGCTCAAGGACACCGCTGAGAAAGAAAAGTGGATCCAAGTTGCCATCCCGCCCTGCTGGCACAGCGGCCAGACCTGGACGATCAGCACAAAGGTGGACACACTGTGCAGCCGTTTGAATACAAATGTATCGACTAACAAGACGTCGATGTTATATCCGCTGCGGTTTGTAAGCAACCGGATTCTACACTGAAAGCTCACAAGCTGACGCAGCAGAAAGGCTGACACTGAACTGCACAGATCTGAGTTGGGATAAGCATCCCTGTTTGTTGCATGGCTGAGCGGTGAGTCACTCGGCGAAGCGGGCCAGCTCTCAGCGGAGGAAACGGCACCACAGAGGGGGAATACGCTTCCATCCAAACTCCATCTCCGCGCAGATATTACAACATAAAGTCGACGCTTTTTCCTGCCTCGGCCGCGCTGACAGACACCTGAGGTTGTGCTGACTGGAGACATCCTGGGACTGCTGTCAACGGCTAGACCGGCTAAGGTCAGAGATCCTCAGCTGGGAAAGTTGGCCGGGATGAGCGGACTCTGTATCGCTCACCGCTGTCGTGCATATTCTAGAAAAGAAGGCAGGGATGGACTGAGAGCACACGAGGCCTACAGTCATATTTTCCACTGATATCAAAGCCATATGGCTGGATTTCATGAAATAGTTGAAGCGGTGCACTGCTTCTGGCAGCGTTTAATAGAAGCGCTGCACACTAATGTGGATGAACAGGCTGGATGTGTTCTGCGGTGATGATGTACAGTATATTATGATGAAAAGATATACAGCGTGGTCAGATGTTTATAGGCTCGCCTGACTGCTGGCCATGAATTTTCTAATCACCTGGCACATCTTATCAGGCTGCCCGCCATCTTTGAATGAACGCATGCGATGCAGAGATAAAGCCGGACCGTATCTCGGTTGGATCTCAACTCAAAATGCAGGAGCTGCACTGACTTTCTTTAAGGTGTTTCTAAAGCATCGTGTTTCCTCATCTTTTCCTGTTGCACGTTCTGCACCATTATGTTATGAGATCCATGCAAATTTGTGCAGCGATGAGATTTTCTGCTCTGTGAACCAGAACTGTTCATAACCAGCTAGCTAGTGAGAATCAGCAGACCTCGTAAAGAACAACAACATTACCCCGCTCCTCTGGAATGTCAACTTGGACGACACGAAGCAAAGGACGCGGGCTCGGCGCACACGGCTCTCGCACCGTCTCCCATTTGTTCCGCACAAATTTTCTCCTAATTCCTTTTTATTTTTCCTTTTTAATTGTAATCATCGTGACTTCAAAGACCAGCGCGGCTCTGACCTACATAAATGTTCAGATTCTAGTGGCTGATGAAAGTGCTTTGTTTAATCACCCTCTCTTTTTATGCACTCAATGATAATTACGCACACAATCATCATTATTTGCAAGAGGTTAAACATGTGCATGCACACAGAAGCCATTCCATTATTCCAATAGGCTTTGCATACTATTAATCCCTCACAACTGTTAAGAACAGCACCTATAAACGGTTAGAAACGCCACACATTTAGCAGATAGGTATGAACTACGATTTTTTTCACCGTGCAAATACAGCGTTTAACTTTCCAATTTATACCAAATACTATTTTTGTCCTTTTTGTAATTATTATATGATTATGGAGAAGAAAACCACTTCACACGACGGCCATAACATCTGGGGTACTGCGGCTTCGCTGTGCTTATAATATGAGGTTGTTTCAGATGAAGGAAATTAAAATGTTTAACCCTCATTCTTACTTCACGCATTATAAAAAGAGCCCACACACGCACATGCAGGATGACTATAAATTTCTGACCAGTTTCACCACAAAACTACAAGAACATAGAAAGTATGGCGAGGTAAACACGCCACGGCGCTTGTTTGTTGAAAGATGCAACCTATACTTGTGCTTAACAAAGGCTGAACTCCTTCACCGATACCATCTGCAAATAATGCTTCGAGATGCACAAAACCACTTCATATATGCGCGTGCATATGAGTTTGTACTTGCACTTGCATCGTGTCCAGTGACCTTACACAGCAGCGTAAATAGCAGGCGCTAGCAGACCGTAGCTGGAGGAGCGTCGATGCTGTTGTGTGCATGCTTCTGCAGCGTTTGACTCATTGGGAGCCACATGGCGCAGATGTCTGCTTTGGAAAACAAAACCAAAACAGATGAATATGGTAGGAGATGGCAAAACACATGCTGGTGCTTCGTCACGTTGGTCCTCTTGAGCCTCTGATATTACGGCTGCACTGTGAAAAACAAGCTCGCTGCAGATAGCGAGCTTGTTTTTGTGCGACACGCTTCATTTCAGAAGAGATTAAAGAAAACAATGAAGGTGAAGAACGTCCTTTATGACAGAAAACAGACTGTTAAGTATAATAAAGAGTGAATGAAGACGTCCCTACCTTCTGATCCACTATGGAGCACACCAGGTCCTTCACAGCAGACAGCGACAGGTCACTGGCCTCCAGGTTCACCGTCTCTCTGGTCAGTCCGATCTGCAGCAGGAAGGACACCCCATGGAAAGAGCTGCGGGAGTTGGTGGGGCTGGGGGCGTTGTGACTGCCGTTGGACAGCCGTGTGTAGACGGGTCCAGACGGGCTGGACGACGGGGTGGATGGCAAGGACGGGTGGTGCACATGGACAGAGTGGAGGAAGGCTCGAGGTAAGGATGGGGGAGAGGAGGCAGACATTGGGTTTCTTCCAGTTGCAACGCAAACGTCTGAACAGTGGAGGAATCAGTGAGGGCTGGCGGAGAAAAGCACAGCTGGGTTTGTGTGGATGAATTCCTGATAGGGGGAATCTTCGGTCTTCATCAGTAACAGTCAGTCGATTGTCAAAGTGATACCGTCCTTTTCAAACTAACAGCTTATCCACCCGCTGGAGCTCCCACGGCCCGAGCTCTGCCACCAGACTGACAGGTGATGGAGGAGAAGTGTCTGAACGATACGCAGGCCTCTGCAGTGAAATCACAGCAGCACACTTCATATCCTGGAGTTTTGTTCCTTCTCCTTAGTGAAGTCAGTAATCCACTCTGACCACAGGAAGCCTGTCACCACACACACGCACACACACACACTGCTTTTTAACGAGAAGCATTCTCATATCTGAAAACAGTTGTGAAAAGCATTCAGGGTGTATGAATGAATCAGCTGCTGTTCTTACAGAGTAAAGACGCTGAGCTGGATTCATTTTACGTTAGTCACAAATCTTTATTCAGAGCTTTTTAAAGTTAAATATAAAGTTATTTATTGTTATCTGCAAGGATCGGAGCAAAGCACGCCCCCAAACTTTGGGGCTTGTCTATAATTTCAATTATTTAAAATGTTCTCGCTACATTTCTCGACTAACTGTGAGAAAGTTGGAAGTAGGCGACTGTACGCGAGCGCGTAAAACGCCAAAACAGCAGGCCACGAGACGCGCAGACGTCGATAAAGGGTATCACTTGTGTGTTTGTACGGATTCAAACCCCACAAACATCTGGAACCGAGGCTTCTGAACATCTGCTCCCCTCCCACTTTCGATTGGCTCGCTGGCAGAACAACCCGAGCCGAGAATGCCAGCAAAACAAGTTATACAAGCCCCGAATCTGCGCTTTCTGAGCCTGGCCGCGGAACGCTCTCTCCCGGTACGGTCGGGTTAAAGCCAAACGTCGAGTTAAACGCTTCTTACAGGATACTTTACCTTCGCTCTCGGCGCAGGGCGCTTTTCGATCCATTGTGAGAGGGCTGAAGAAACTTTTCAACTCCATCAAGTGAGGGAAGCGCAGTCGGAACTTTATTCTTCTGCACTTTGTTACAAGTCCCACAGAAAGCTCTCCGGCGCAGCCCGCAGCTCACACATACTAACTTTAGTTTTGCTCGCTGAGACGAGCCGCTCCGTGCATTAATTTTCTCTTATCTTTTATTCCAGATTGTAAATTCATGCGCATCTTATTATCCTTCCAGCTGTGACTACTCCCCCTGCTCGACGAGAAAAAGAGCAGCGACCGTCGCTGGGGCTTGGAGTCTTTTTATTATGTCCGCATAACTGACTTTCCATGAGTGGGGAGGAAAACTTGAACTACACACCATGTGAAGCAATGGCGCCTCCGCTCGAGCTCGAACCAGTGCGCATGTGCCTTTTCTTTTCCGTTATTTCAACTTGGTCATGCCAAAAGAAAAAAAAAGAAAAAAAAACTTTACTCCACATGACCCGGATCGAATTGTAATAAATGGCTCACCCAAGTAGGAAGCGAGAGTCGCACTGAAGGAGTTCATACAAGTCGAGGTTTATTACCTAAAGTGCGCTCGGCTTAAGATAAAGGGACGTTATCTATAAATAGATTAACTTTGAAGGGCTAATATGTTGTCTGACTAATACTCAGAATATTACAGAACAAATGTCAGGAAATTGTCCAACAGTGACTGCGTTGTGAGATTGTGAGAACAGCCTCTCTCTCTAATCAGGATGCTCAGTTTAAAGAAAGCCAAGAACCGCAGAGAAACAAACAGAAATCAGCCTTTATTAACAGTAAAAACATAACAAATGCATTAATACTGCGGAAACGTGCAGTCTATTCCCCTCGCCCAAGCCGCGAGGCCCCCACAGATGTCTTTCACGGTGACACGGTCCACTTCTGATCCGCTCATCTTCTCCAGAATCTGCACGGCCTTCTGAGAATCGTTCCCCTGCTTGCAGATCACGTAAACTGGAGAGAGAAGTCAAGAGAGAGACTGGTGGACTCGTTACGTTTGATTGGTTGAAACACAACATCAGGTACAAACAGGTGAATATTTAAAAATCGAGACAGAGTAAAGTCCAGGCTAAATTTATCTCGCTGATTAAAGAACGTCACCAAAATAATGTTTTGAATGTTAATTTCTGTGAAGCGGGCCAGCTGCACAGGCTGACCGTACTTGTTTTGGAAAAGGCCTCGCATAGCAACCCCATTACAACCTGTTTCTAGCTGTCCAAAATAAGCCTCCGGCCCAGCAGTGTGAGACTACACAGTGGCGTCTGAATATGCACAAGTGACTGTACGTGCCCGTTCGTTTCAAACAACACGCCCTAAATGGTGTTTTTGCTGTGTTACCTGGCGGCTGGCAGTCACCTGCCATCTGCTGCTTCAGCTGGCTGATTCTCTCCCGGAGTAACTGGAGATGTTCCCTCTTCCTCTCCTCCAGACTTGAGAGTGGAATATCTGGCAGCGATGTAAGGCGAACAGCCACACAGACACGAGGCTCGCACGAAGAGAAAATACACGATTATGGTGCAGCCAGAAGGATTTGTGTCTTAAAGGATACTGAGAGAGGAGGCTAAGTGGCATATATCCACCTCCACCAGAGGGCGCACATCCAACAGGAGATGGGGCTCTTCACTGTCCATTATCGATTTATAGTCCTGGAATCACATGAAAACAGCCCTTAATACACTTAAACTACCAGCTGCTACAATTACAGACGTGCGGCTTCGCTTTTTGGGTAAAGGCGTGGATTTCTACGTAAGCAGGGAAACCAAAATTACTCCTGGACTCGTAATTGTAGAGTAATATGAAAGTTTTAACAGTTTTTCCTTAATTCACAGGAAGCAAAACTGTTTCTAACTGCAGCCTCTTGCACAATCTCAGCTGCACCCCAATCAATCATGATCCCCATCTCTGTGCAAATGACTCAGTGGGTTTCAAAGCAGCAGTTCTGCAGAAACGTAAACAGATGCAATCCACGCTCCTGCGCTCGGCGCCAAAGAGAACGTGTTATTCTTTCCCATAGAAAATTTACAGGCGCATTTTAAGTCATTTCCCATTTGGGGCCGGGTCAGCACCGAGATGCAATCAGTTTATGAATGCGCATGAAAACTGAGAAAATTGGGAGTAATCATATAATAAACAGCACTAAATACAGGGAGTCACGCAAAGACCGAGCGCTCTGCGCTGTATAATCCCCACCTGCACTGTGATCCTCTGCTCTTTGGACAGCAGGTTCAGTTTGCGGCACTGAAAAGAGAATTTTCCGAGAATTAGAGATAATTATTTGCACTTTTAAAAATGTCACTTGAATATAAATCGAGTTGATTTAAAAAACCTTCAAAAACCAGCATTCCTCTGTAAATGGGCGTGGCCGCAGAAAATGAGTTTCTCTTATGACCAACCTTGTCTGTGGCAGCAGATCCACAGAAAGCCTCGTAGTCCCCCAGCCGGGTCACGCTGGGGTTTTCTCCACATACTGCACAGCCGGCCTGCTTTGGCCGCAGCCTGATCGACCTGAACCTGGCATCTTGGGCGTCAAACATCACCAGCTGCTGGCCGCAGGAAGCTGGCACGCCCGGTCAAGGTTACTAACAAGGCTATTTACTTCTGAGAAGCACCGTGTCGCTCCATTCAGCGGTTCAGAGTCTGGCGCGTCTCCCACTGGTACATTAAAAGCCGTAGCAACATTCGGGGATTTTGCTGGGAATATGGTGCAACGCTTTCCCGGCTGACACATCACGGGAGGCGTTAGCATCAGTACAACAATGCAATACAGAAGGCAGGACGGGCGCGTCTATTCTGTCCCGTGACTCTCAGTACCAGCACGAGAACACGACAATGGCAACTAAATATTCAACTCAGAGAACGCAGACAAAAATCTTTTATCATCCAGCAGCTCATTGTTAATCAATTCTGGTGACTAAGCAAAAAAGCTCAGATGCAAAGAAGCACAATAACTAAACTATAACAAGAAGGTGAAGAAAAAAAGGATACAGCCCTGTCCAGAGGCAATCTTGAGGACTTCCAACGCTTGGAAGCAGCCCATTATCCCTGGAACTTCAATACAAGCGGGAAATATTATAAAGAATGATCATTTACACCGACTGTGGAGGTGAGGGAACAAGACTCACCCACTCCTAACACTCCTCCATCAGAGCAGTTGGTCACCGTCTCCGGAGGTGGAGGCACTGGATACAGACATCTGTAGCAGGGGCCTCCACGGTAGTTATACACCGTCAGCTGCAGACGCACAAAAGATACCGCAAACTGTACCCACTGCACCGACGAGGAAAACGGGCGTCTGCCTTCTACCTTACCTGCCCTTCCATCCGTAAGGCGCTCGCTGACACGAGAGGCTTGCCGCTGAGCACGCAGGCGTCGTTCACCAGATAACGAGTGGGGACGTTGTCTGAGCAATCAGCCACGATGTCGTATATGAGGTCAGTGAAGTCAAGGCGTCCTCGCAGTTTATCAGACACACGTTACTTACAGCTTCTTCTGAATTTCTCTTCATGTGCGCTGATAAGTAATCACAGAACGAGACTTGGCAGATAGCAGCTATGCGACATATTCATGATTTTACAAGTAGAGGTCTGTGCGATAGAGGATACTGTTGAATAAGCTGTAAAGCGTTTTCCGGCGAGAGCTGCAGGTGGTAGGGAATGCACTCCACAGTGGAATTTAACCTGCAGAGATAGATGCACATTCAAGTAATTCCCTAAAAAGTCTGTGTCCTGCATAAACAGCACATTTAATACAAACACCTTAACTGTCCTGCAGCAGCACGAGAGCCAAGAAAGCAACAAAAAAGCAACATGTGAGTCCCGACTGTAGCAGCAGACCTGTGGGAACCTGCTCGTGCTTCCATCCTTCTCCATCTTTGCCATCTCGACTTCATTACAGTTGCACATCATTTGCATCGTGCATGCAAGAAACGATTATTAAAGAGCAAATATTAACAACAAGGCTTAATAAAACTGGGGAACAAGTGCTGCACAGCATTAAATCGATGTTTCGGCTCTTTGTCAGTCAGCGAACTGACGCCCTCGTGTGGCCGTAGGTTAAAGACGTGTGCGTGAAACCACAGAAGGCCCACTGTGTGGCAAAAAGGCACAAAAAACAGCTGTCTCTAAAATAACATGTTTACAAAATATTTGTAGACTGGGGTGAAATACAAAAACAAATATAACCTGTGGCGAGACAGGAAAGCGCCGGTGTGCATTATAACGCAGCCCAATGTTTGCACGGAGCATAAAACACACTAATTATCACAGTTACTGAACATCTACTAATAATATCCAAATAGTAAGGTCTCTGTTTCCTGTTCGAGGGGGGGGGCATTTTTAGACAGATTAGTAACAGTATACTCAAAGTATTTTTCATATTTGAAGTCGTAGATGATTTTGGTATTCTCTAAACATCTGCATACCACGAATTATACGCAGTGTCCACAGAGAGCAATCTGGGAAGCCGTCGCCTATCGTGTCAGACTGAGCCTGAGTAAGATGTCGTTACTGTTGTTGAATGTAGAAACTAAATGAAGAATAAGAGTTTAAACTGTGCTGGGATGAAGGTGGTTTTGTGGCCACTGCACTATGTTTTAGTCCTTCATGCTTACCTGCATGCAACCTTAAAGTGACCAGGACTAAACAGAGAAATACCCGGTCTCTGGTTTCTTGCATAGATATTGGCAGTTGTTCACATGCAGACACTTGATTGCAGCAATAAAACAGTCTGTACCTCTGAACTGCACTGGCAGCAGACAGCGCCTTGGCCTGGCCCTGGTTCTCCTCCCCATGAAGCACCTGTCTGTGCAGGTTACTCAGCTCCACTTCATCGTAGTCTAGCAGGCCGAGGCGACCTGGGGAGGCAAGAAAGGCTTTAAAACTCCTCAAACACTGATACCAACGAGTATACTCATAAGGTACAAACTTTTAAATTATGCATCCAAAGTTTGCCTGACACCCCACCTGAGGAAACAGGTAGTATAACTCTCACTAAATGTTAAATCTTAAATGTTATACCGCACGTTTTCTTGTCTCTTCAGCTTTAATCGTTTTATTCACCAAAAATTAACTTTTTATGGCTCAACATTATTTTAAGTAAACGCCACTTTTTAATGATTATTTTGGTCATGATGTCGTCTAATCAACAAGCGTACCTACCAACACCTGCTGCTGCAAGATACTGCGCCAGGGGGCAGCCCAGTCCTCCACAGCCCACAATCAGCACGGATGTCTTGGACAGATTCAGCTGACCTGCAGATAATCAGTCCTCGCTTGGTACAATGCTCTGAACATCAGACGAGTGTAATCTGCAGCCATCCGTACCTCGCACACCGAGCTCGGGCAGGAGGAGCTGTCGACTGTACCGCGTGATGTCCTCGTTGGTGAGAGCCGCTTTGCCTGTGAGCGGGGTTAGGGGCGTCGCTCTCTGATGTAGCTCCACTGATGCAGCTCGGCTCTGATGTCACACCAAATACATTTGCATAGTTTTTATTCATGTGTCACCAAAGTCTTCAACAGTTTCCCTCTAAAATCAATCCAGATGTGTTTTTTAAGGTTTTGATATTTGAAGTATTTTGTGTTTTTTGATAAACTCTGATGTACAAATGTATGGCTGCACTCAGATTAGAGCTGCACCATGTGACCACTCTCATTGAATTTTTACTTTGATGTTTCCTCATGTTAAAGAGCCAGTACTCAGACATGTTTTATGCATTTATACTAAATTACAGATCCTGGTTCACTTGAACATTTCACTCTTTTTCATGACAGCTTCCAAGCTATTCATGTTCAAAGAGATTTCAGTCTATGAAAAAGGTCAGAAAGTGAGTTGGATGAGTCTTTAAAAAAATCCAGGAAAGTATTTGATTCATGAAGCTGGACTTTGGATCATCTGGGCGAACAGAAAATGTTCTTAAAAAATGGATGATTTTGGATTGAATGGTATTAACTCAAAACATGTGAAAACAGGAGGAAATAAAAAGGTTTGATCAGCAAAGGTCAAAGGTTAAATGTTAGAAAGAGATAATAATTAATAACCAGCAGGCTAAAGTAAAGCACAAATGGGTGACATATTTAGAAGATAAGATAAACGATCAATAAACATGGTTAGATGGAGAAAATAAATTGTAGGCTCACATAAATGAATATATTAGGTTTTTTTCTTTAATTTAAAATAAGGTTTAAAAACGTCAGGTAATAATATAATAATTAGACGCCTACAATGAGGAATCTTATTTTATAAGAATTAACGCAAACTTTTCATCTTAAACTCTGAGATTTTAAGGATCAGGTGAATATGAACTCTTGTCTCAATGATGCATTTAATATTAATTATGCAGCTGGTTGCTGTGGCGACACCTTGTGATAGCCGGATAAACTCTGAGGTGTTGGAGTAACGTAACGTTACTCTGAGGTGTTGGAGTAACGTAACGTCCTTTTCCGATATCGTCACTAAACTAAGCTCCGATTATGCTCACGTTATAACTGCACCGTTAATGCCGCACAAGAAATCAGGCACATACACACACACACCGAGACACAGACGTGAATTCACTTTCGCACCTTTTCCAGTTGCGCCAGTTTGTTCTTCAGAGCTGCGATCTCCTCCTCTTTCTGCCGCAGCTGCGCCTTCAGGCCGCACACCTCCTGCGCCATGGTGCAAAGAAAAAAAACCCACGGTTAGAAAAATGAAGCTCTAAAGCCGGAGACTCCTCTCAGACATGTTGACATGCCAAACACACGGTGCAGGCTTCCGGGTTGGTCACGTGGTAAAGACACCACGTGGTAAATGACGTCTGGAGCGCCGGTCAGAAAAAATATCAAAAAGTAGCTAAATAATAGAAAATTTTAATTAGATTAAGAAGTAATAATACTAATATAATATAAACAGGAAAATTCGTCAAATATTTTTGTGTTTATTTATTTTTGCCAGGGCGTATTCTTAAAAACATTATAGGTGAAAAATTATGCATTTATTTAATTAAAATAAATAGAAACCTATTGGAGGGGAGATCCTAAGGATCTGTTAGTGCAGTGAGTGCCAATTTACCGTCATGGTTTGGGTTCACGTGTCCTCTCGAAAGCGAAGGAAAAATCAAATGTAAAGTTGCTGTGAGAGCTCACAACGCTAATCCTACACACCCCTGTACCAGTGTGCGGTGACAAGTGGCTGATAACTCATTTCCTATATGTCCCTGAACATACCGGGACACGGAGTTGGTTTTCACTGGGGTGCTATTGGGGGGATTATAGAGGGGCTCATAGGAAACCAGGAAATCCTGTCTATAAGAGAGAAACCCCAAACACAAGCACGTGAGTTTAACGATGTTAATGCGCACAGAGCTCGTGACTCCATAAACACAGAGCAGGAGTTGCACTGGAACAATGCAGCTGCATCTCTAAATGGCAATGCTTTCATAATCCCATCAAAAAAACAACAAAATAATGCATTAAAAAAGATGAAAACTAAAACATCATTAAGCATCATAAACATACTTCATTGTTATGTGTTTACGATAAATTGTGTGCATAAAACAATAAGGAGGGGGCACCATAGTAAAGCTTCACGTGGCCGGGCTTTGCGCTGTGACCTGCAGCTTATGAACATACAGAATGTGCGGTTTGCTGCTCAAAATGAGCACCTATCAAATGACTCTGGGGTCACTGTGTCAGGCACCCATGCGGTTCCTGGGAGTGGAAAAACACACACACAGAGAGAGACGGTGACGCGCTGCGGTTTAGAGTCCTCCCTCCTGCTCTTCACATGATCCGAAAGCTTTCACAGAGGAGAGACAGGAATGTGCAAAGGAGCGACGGCATCAGTGGCTGATCGAAGCCACGCTGCCTCCACAATGTCTTTATTTCACACTGTGGCTGTCTGCGTGACCCTCATCCACTACACCAACGGGATCCCATGGACAGAAGAAAAGGTAAATATATTCAAAGGATCTGCTCACGCTCTGGGCCTGAATGCACCGTGGTACTGCCTCAGTCATGTGTTTAAACGCTGAGAGAAATCTGCTCCAAATATGAATCCATTAAAATAAGAACTCACCACGTGCTGTGTTTACTCTGACCATCAGTAACCTGCATGACTGCTTACTGTCATCATTTCCTGTCTTTGTGATGCTTTTATCGTTTAAAATCATCTGTGCTGAATGATTTGATCGTTTTGGGACTAATAACTAACCATGTAGAAAAAAAATAGTAATTTTAGCATGTTAATGCATTTATATTGTGATTATATTGTTTGTGGTTACCTGCACCGTTACTGCTGTTACATTACTCCATAAGAGAAAAAGAGAGGCTCTCAAGTAATCGGATACATCTTTATAATTAAGTGAAATATGTGTTCATGACGTTAGAACAATCCCCTGTGCTTTTAACACTGTTGTGTAATTCTCCTGAGGTACACCAGGGTATCCCTGCACAGAAATCTTCTTCATCTATATTCTTCTTCTCCTCTCCCCTGTGCTTGGTTGCTATGGCAGCACAGCCTTCATCATTGATCCTCCAATTGTGGGTCTTGGTATTTATAGACCTTAAGTGGACCCCCTTTTAACCCTCTATGAGCTCAGCGAGCCCCGGCTCTTTGAAGGGCTGTATTCAGTCTGTGTGACCACATAATTATAGTTTTCCCTCTGCAAACACAGGCCTGCTGTATGAGTCAGCCACTATGAGCTGAAGACGTACTGGGAGCAGGTTTTGTAAGTGAATATTTGTGCCTCGGCTGAAATAAACAGACCTGGGGAACATATCTTCTGTTGTTGTCTGCAAGGAAGAGCAAATGTTGTTGTTCGTTCTGCAGATGTAGCAGATGTGGCCATTTATTCCAACTCCAACAAACATGAATATAAATGACTAATTGATTAAGTGAGTAATGACCACATCAACTGATAATAACCTTAATATTATTCCTTTAAGCTCTGAATCTATATAAAGATTTTATAACCTCTGCGTGCTGCTCGTTTCCACCACATTCCCAATTAAGTACTAGCTGAGGGCCTAATAGAATAAATGGAGCTGCACATGGCTTTGATCGGTCTCTGATATTTACTCTCAGCTGTTTCCCCCCGATTCCCCGTTTGTTACCAGGACAACAGTGTTTCTCAGCAGGTGAACTTTGTGACCAAATGAAACAGGACTGATTGGAAGATCAATGTGTTTTTTAGGCCACGACTGTGAATCAGCAGTCATTGAACCGACTCTTATAGTTTGCACAAAACAGCAAACTGGCATTTTACTAAAGAAGAGTAATTCCATGTTAACAACTATGCTTGATGATTAGATGCTTGCTTTTTTAAAGGAGCCACTCTGTAAACGTGTGTCTCTTCTCAAAGCTCTAATTAGCTCTTGTGTCCCGACAGGCTTTTTTCACAGCTTATTAAGGACACTGTCTTTTATTTAACAGCTT